CGCGCGCACACACACACACACACACACACACACACACACATATAGAGAAACATACGTAGAGAAGCAATGCACTCCTCGAGCGAGCAGCAAGCGCAATTTCTTCATATCTAAATGACTTATCTGTCGGCTGAATGCCGGTTACTATCGAGTTTTGCAACGCGATTCGCGGTAACAGATGTAAGATCGATAAAAGCCTCGTTTCGTCCATACGTTCTTTCATCCGACGTAATAACGGTTCCGCGATCGCCGGACGATCGCTGCAGATGAACGTCTTTATGCTGCTAGCTGGTCTGCAGCTTGGATAAGACACGAGTTTCCGTGGCTCTATTCACTCGCCCCCTCCCCTCCTACCCCCCCCATCTTTCCTCCATTTCCTACTTTCCTCGCTGTTGCTCGTTCCCCTTGTAAAAAGGCGATGAATCTTATTTAGAAAATAATTGACGAGTGGCTACTACTCGCAGGCAACAAAAATCAAATTCACCTCAGGAGGGAGGGAAAGAGTTGGCTAACCACGAATGATTTATTCGATATTGTGTTCTTGCTGTTGAACGTCAGCGAGAGAATCCATCGGAAAATTTTCTATTGATATATTCGGAATTCGAAAACAGTGGAGAAGGAAGAAATAGGAAATCCTTGTATGTGCTGTTTTTGTAGCAGCACGATAGAGAACAATTCAATGTACCATTCATTTAAATTTGCAACCACTGTACGTGTCAGTTCTTTCAATTACCAACCAAATCTATGCGTTTCTAATATATTTAATACGGTAACATTTATATTTAACTTATATTTAATATAATAATATTAGTTTAATATATATTATTATGTATATTGTCTGATTCTTTTCATTTCTTCTTGACGTTTAGAATTTCCTCTGAAGAGCGTCGACTTATTGATAACTGCTTGTAAAAAAGGAATTTTTAATATTTCTACCAGCGTCGTGGGATATCTTACCACGAAGAAACGAAATTTTTCAACTTTTGCAATCGCAGAGTTTTCTACAAGGATCCAGATATTTATAATATTCGTCGAACACAAGACGTATCTTAAGTAACATGCCGGAGAGAAAGAAAGCGCGAATTAGGACCATTCATCACATTTTCCAATAAACGACCGAATTACATATTTAACCTGAGGGCAGGAGGAAGGGGTTGCCAGGTGATAAAAATAAGAAAAGCTCGCGCGCAAAAGAATCGGCTCTGTCATCGCGCAGATATTAATCGTTCCAGATATTAATCACCGTGCGCACTGGCACCATCCCCATATTGTCTCGAATGTTTAATCCTCCCGGATGATTTTATCGCGGAAAAGATGATTTTATCACAGCCAGCTTTTAGATCAGCCTTTTTCCACCCTCCCCGTTGCTTGAAACAACGAGACGATTCATTCGACCGCGAATTCTATCCGCGACGAAACATCTCCTATCTCCTCTTCTCTGCTACGCGTTCGCGTGAAGCGTTTTTCACGACAGAACATCAATTACAGGTTTGCTGTCAGATCCTTGTTATTCTGTCCTTCGAAACAGACATTCGCCACGTAAACGGCGTCGCATTTACGTATCGGCCGTGATAAGTAAACTCGTCTGACTCTAACGAGCGCGATATAAAAGCAAAAGTGCAATAGCAAAGGATGAACTCATCCTTCGCTGTGAGTTTCCTTCTTCTTCTTTTTTGAAACACGTGTAACGTCAGGCATTGCTAACTGTGAAATACGTGAGTGAAAGGTAGGAGAATTGTAAAAGAATGACAAAAAGTTGGAAATTATCTCAGTAATTCCGAGAGAAGGAAAGCAACGAGTGGTCAATCAAACGAGATACTCTTGTCCGCGAGAGTCAGAAGCCGGAATGATCAATCTCGCTTCACAATTAACAATTTCATCGTTCGGGTATGATGAATCTTCCAGTGTCGAACTTGATCGCTGTGGCTTCCGAACGGTCCGACAATTCAATTATTTATTCCACGTTGAAATCGTTATTGGTTATTGGTAAATAAAATTCGGGTCATCGATGATGGTTACCGCGAATCAAAAAGAGGGAAGAAATTTATATCCGTTCCTTCTGTCACCGAAAACGATTTTAATTATTCATGATGGCTTTCCGTAATCGGAACAATTGAAAATTAGCGTTGGCTCGATGACTTTGTTTTTCAAGAAATCTTGAGAAATTGAAACTCACTGAACAATACTATATTCATTCAATCGAGTGTTCAAAGTAACTGTTATTTTGGGGTTCAAAGTAACATTCCTTTTCACGATAATTACATCTACCAATTAATCCAAGCACTTGTATAATTTCTTATTACATATATATAAAAATACTATATCATATAAATATAGAAGCTCTTTCTCGAGAGACAGTATTTCGTACAAATTCATAGAATCTTGTAGAATAATGAAACAAAAGAAACGTTTCTTAAAATTCAGTGAGCTCTCAGAATAAAAAAAAAAAAAAAAAAAAAAAAAAATGAAAAAGAAGAAGGGGATAAAATTAACTCACCGACGCAAGGGTTCACCCAGAGGAGTCTTTGCCAGCCCAAACAGTCGTAAAGTTGCGTGAGCTCCGAGCCCTTGCACGCGCAGTTCGACCGCAACTCGGTGCCAAGGATTCCCAGCATCGCTTTCCTGCACTCGGCCGTCGGACCGGCACACTTCTTCGTCACGCTGTCCACCGCGCAGTTTTGCTCGTAGTACTCCAGCCTCGCTCTATGCAATGCAAGTAATTAAATTAGCGGCGAGAGGGCTTTAAAAAGACGAAACCGATCGCCTCGAACACTCGACGAAGACTGAGACGTCACGAGACGTGACTTTGGACCGTCTGTCCGTTGCTTTCCTCGAGAAATTAAAATCAGAATCGTTCGACTGGTGTTTGTAAACGTGTCGACGCCCCAATGAAATTTTCGGGCTCATCGCGCGCGATCTTCAAAATTGTTTTTAAGACGATCGTGGCGTAATTTGAATGCTCGTTTGCTTCGCGCTTTAACCAAATCCGTGTTCATTCATTACACTGAGACTTCTCTCATTAATTTGTTACATTAATACTCAGTTTAGTGCAGAAATTGATGCGTACTTGATGCAGGAATTTGACGACGTGTGAACTCTAAAATCGTGTCGGAGCGAAATTTTATTACCTAAACAGCTGACAAACTAAAATGCACCGAAAGTATCTTTTTGAATATCTCGGAAATTGAAGCCAAATAATAGTGAAATATAAATATTCATAGGTGAAATTATTCAGAAAATTGGCTTTAACAAACAGATCGGTCATTTTCAGGATTAATTAAACGGTGAGAGAGGATGCTGGAGATATAAACTCATCGATTTAATTTCTATCGTACGTTCGTCCAAGATACAGAAGCTATTAGTAACAAATATAATTGTAACAATTCGCGGACCGTGACTCGAGCAACGTGCACGATAAAATCGAAGGATAATCTTCGCGATTTATTCGTCCGATTGCGATCTGTCTTTTTTCGATAATACACGGGGGATCCCCGTTGCAAAAATTGCTGCATAATGCATCACGCGATTAAAGAATACTCGATCTGTTAAAAACGAATTCGTAGCTACGAGATGTGCGATAATAAATCAAATTAAAACGTCCATATATATTGACGTACGCTGTAATTTAATCATCGCGTGGATCCAATATCCGCTCCGATCGATCGGAATCGAATCGTTCTCGTTTCGAGAAGCGCGATTCCTTTTCAAACCGAAATTTTCAATCGAATTAATCAACGATCGGATTTTAATTAGACCCTGATTAATAGACTGGCGATAAATAGATTCAGCTTTTTCGGCTAATCCCGGCTTTGGTGTCCAGTTTCATCTGTACTTGTTAGACACGGATCGTTCGAATGTTTTCGCAATTTCAACTAGCGAGTCGGATGTCTTTATCTGAAGTAACGAAGTATTTCATCACGCAGCCGACCACGGGTGGATCAAGTCAACGCAACGTCTCGTTGTCTCGCAATTTAACTTTCAAATTGAGACGAGCACTCCATCCAACTGCGAGGTCGGCCGCGCACGAGGAAAAAAGGATTCGAAGCATTTAATCAAAAGGTCACCCGGTTTGCCCAGACCCGCGATACGATTTTTTTCGCGATAAATCGTTGTTGTTCACCGTGCCAATTAATTTTTCCTGGTCCCTTAAACGATATTCTTAATAAGCTCCTAAATAACTTGCATTATAGTGAAGAAACTTAAGATATTGATATATATTTTCTTTGATAAAGATTAGCAATAAGATTAGATCGAATCAATTAATATTTCGAGTAGAACCTAAATTTTTTTCATTCCAATTTTTCAATAATCAATCACTGGCACACGAAATTTGCTCGTCTGGCCTACAGGACGTCACAGTGGAGATGTAATAATTCCTCGACGTTTAAAATTAGAGAATAAAACGCTTCTGTCGATGGTGTTTCATTTTATTCGAATTATTCTGAAATATTTATAAGAGTAGAAGCCGGCTGGTCACCGTGACTAATCAACGTTGTTAATTAGAGCGCAAGCATTTCAAAACGTACCTGCATGCCTCGTGCTCTTTGCAAGTTTCTGCCAAGCTGTGACAGGTCGGTATTTCCCCCTCGCCTCGTTGCGCGCACGCAGGGTGCATTTTCTCCTGCGTGATCATACACTCGTCTTTCTTCCCGTCCGTTTTCCTGCAAAGAGAAAAAATCATTACATCATTGATAAGAGTGAATTCACAATTAGGAAGATCGATCGTTGAGTATACTTGGACTACGTTAAAGGCTGGCATCGATTCGTCAGGGTGGCGCCAGATTGCGAAAACAAAAGGGAAACGCGACGATTTACGGAGCACAGTCCCGCGGTCCATCTTTTCGAGAGCTCGAGCGAATTTTAAGGGAGGGAATTCCCAGGTAGCGCAAGCTAGATGTTGCTCAACGAGCATTAAATGAGACCGCGAAATATTTTATTCGAGGCCTAGAGGCTTTTCCTTTCCGTCCTACGATCCAACTTCTCCCTCACATACTCCCTTAAGTACTTCGACCATAAATTTTCAGCCTTGTCGATACGTGGTTGCTCACGGAAGAACTTCTTACGAATACACTACGAAATTTCATGAATAGCATTAACGAAAGTCAACGTTAACGTGGTTAACGTCAGTAAATCCAAATCCGAAACAGATCTGAAGGTAGATGTATATATAGAAATATACTTCTGTGTACATTATCGTCCATTCAAAATATGTTCGTATACATAAAAATTCTACTGCAACGCGGGTTCGAATATTTCCGTGAGCTATCTCAATGCAAAACCCAATAGGATCCAGTAAAAAAAAAAAAAAAGAATTTAAGTCAAAAATGAATTCGTCTAATCAAAGAAGACCCCATTCAACGATCCATCGAATATTCCATGGAGCAGCAGCCTTCTTCCCCGTTTCACGCTGTTAAATTAATCGTTGCGTTTTAAACGAAAGTGCGGGAGTTCCAATTTGTCAAAGACACGGTCCAACGAGGTTATCTAATATTCATAAATTCCTCAGATGATACCAATATCCCGTTGTGGGTCGGCGCGGGACAAAGGAACGGTCGCCCAGGACAATGAATATCGGCGCGTACGGGGAAAGTTAAGGAAGAAAAAGAAGCTAGGAGGAGGAGGGATCGAAGGTGGGGAACGTGGAAGACGGATAGAAAGTTTCTGCATTGTTTCGCGGGCAAAAGCCACTTAAAAGTTAAAGGAGCTTCTTTCGAAAAGAAGCCTCGACCGGTTGCTGGCCGCGCGAAGGGATTAGAGATGCAGAACTCCGGAGTATTTCCAGGCCGGCGATGGTTCTTTGTGCGCGTTCCCCTCCTCTCCCTCCCCCGTGACCCACCTTTGTCTCTTCCCTATCACTTTTGCCGCGAGTTTACTCAGGATTACGGCGAACGTACAAAGACGAGCGGCTTTAATTGAGTCGTATCCGAGCGAGTCGCGTTTCGAGGGACCTGGCCACGTCTTCGTCTCGCGCTGAGGGTTTCCAACGATCGTTTCGAGTTCTCGTGTATCTCGATCTCGACCGTGGACGAAGAACGAGATTGTCCCGTTTTAATCCTTTTTTGCCAAAAAATAAACGCGATAAAGGCTATAATAATTCCTGCTATAAAATATATCCGACGACTGTGAGGGAAAATTTGATTTAGAATATTTTCGAAAGCGGATATACAGTCCCAACAGTCTTTCACAATGGGATTATATGTAC